TAATTCTCACCACATGGGTCGTTTGTTGTATCGCATCCTTATGGCATGGTGGACCATTTCCGGTTTACCATGGATTATTTGTTGTGCCCTGTCTGTAGATCGATCAATTCAGGTAGTATTGAATTCGTGCATTTTGGTTGCGCAGAACACTGAAACGTCAATGTCATTCGTGGTGAAGTTACTGAATAGCAAAAAATCTGAAGGGTATCTCCATCATGCAGTAATGAATTTGGGCCTTCGAAGTGCCCACCTGATGTTAGGTCATTTTCATTTAATCATTTGAATAATTCGAGATATACGAGTCCAAAAGCACGTTTTATAATAATTGATATCTAAGGTACCGTCGTATAGAGTTTCATGTCTGATTGTTGGATATTTTGTGTCCAACAATCATGATTTTCTGCCAATAGTTGCTTATGTACCAAGGACGAAAAACTGTCTATTATTTTTCTCCTTTATTTGCTCAATAAGAAATTCAAAAGATCTTATAGCGAAGAGTTTCGAAAAAACATGAAGAATATAATCTTGAGAATGAGAAAAAATTTCTAAAATAAAAGGATAGGAAAACTCACTGAAGAAATATCTTATCTTATCGTTATGCAAACCCTGCATGTCATTAACGAATCTGAGGAATTAATTACCTGTGAACTCTTTGGCCGACCGTGTATAAAATACGTAAAATGTAGACACAATCAATCATGAATATAATTTTGAAAATGCTGATGTATTAGGGATATATTGGAGACGGAATCCAGTTGGGGAGTCACTAGTCACAATACACTTAAGGTGGATAATATAATAATATAAAACTATGAAAGGTAATGTAGGTGCTCATCCAAGAAACTAAAAAAAAAATTAAGGTAGGCGGCCAACATTCAACTAAGAAATTAATTACTTCCATAATTCACCACAGCGCGTGCGTCAAATAATAGGTAACTAGCCGCGCTGGAAAAAGATTAAACAACTGATGAAAGGTTATTGCATGAACACCCATACAGGGTGGGCCACCAGTAACGCCTCGGTCTCTAGAAGGCTAACCACTTATCTTCTTGGAATTCTTCCTCTCTAGGAAGTTGCATGTCAACATAGGCTACCATTTGAAATTATTTTGAAACATACAGGATGTCCCCATGCAAAAATCACAAAACACTGAAGTTGAACTTTTTTCAATCGAACACCCTATATATTATTTCATTTTGAGATTCTCCCTGGTGAGCTGATTTCAACAATCCATCATACTTGGGGTCTAGCAGTTATAATTACTGAGATACAGGGTGTGAGAAATCGAGATTTTCCAAGTTCAAGAATTTTTTGTGTCTAAACCATTCATAATTGGTCAAAACGGCTCACATGTCCCTATCTCAACTTTTGATCAACTATCTACTGACATTTAATTGAAACAAATACAGGGTGGTGCAGAATTCAGAATGTTGATCACCCGGTATATGTCCCAATTAAATATCAGTAGATAGTTGATCAAAAGTTGAGATAGGGACATGTAAGCCGTTTTGACCAATTATGAATAGTTTCGACACAAAAAATTCTTGAACTTGGAAAATCTCGATTTTTCACACCCTATATTTCAGTAATATTATAACTGCTAGTATGATGGGTCGTTGAAATCAGCTCATCAGGGAGAATCTCAAAATGAAATAATATATAGGGTGTTCGATAGAAAAAAGTTTAACTTCAGTGTTTTATGGTTTTTGGGGACACCCTGTATGTTTCGAAATAATTTTAAATGGTAGCCGATGTTGACATGCAACTTCCTAGTGAGGAAGAATTCCAAGAAGATAAGTGGTTAGCCTTCTAGAGACCGAGGCGTTACTGGTGACCCACCCTGTATATTTTTATTTAAAAATTCGTTTAAATCTTAAATTCTGATGGATACATTCTTGAATATTTCCTAATTATGAAGGTACAATTCTGAAATTCGCAAAGCGATGCAGCTGTTGAAGCTACAATGATATACGCTGCTCGCCTTGATCAGTGTTACGAGTATTCCGATTGAAGAAGCTTCTGTGTCAGCGAATCATGACATGTTTCTGAGAAGTTTGTGGAAATCCTATCGACTTAACAAATAATCATGGATAATAATAAATCAATTGGGTAGCTTAAATTCACTTTGACAAGTACCGGTTTGTTATTTCGTCGGTTCGCTTCGAAATAGTAACGATCTACTTCAGTCCCAAGGGATCGGACGGGTCCCTTCAGTTTCCGTTTGAAGGAACTGAAGGTCATATTTTAGTACGGCAAGTGCTGAAATCCGACTGGCGTACTTTCTTGGAAAAAATTCGAGCAGTCAGTTTTTCTGCGATTTTATTATGTTTATCGAGGTGCTGAATCCGAATCTGAAGTTTGAAAACAATATGTCTTGGATCGTTCCGAGATATTCGCAAAAACAGTGAAAATTTCGCACTTTTTCACTTTTCTGTCCGTAGCTCGAAAATATATTTTTTTTCTAAAATATCACTCTTAAAAAGTTGAAGTAGATGAAATTTTCTGTATATAATTCTCCTAGCTCATCAATGTAGGACTAACGGGTGAGCTGTTAGAGCAAGTTGAACATTTACCAAATTCAAAGGAAGAAAAGAATGCTCGAAGTCATCTCCACAAATTTTAAGGGTCTGAAGATGGTCTTTCATAAGACCGAAACATGTCCCTTTTAATTGTGTAACAACACCATTAGAATTTGTGGAGATTCGAATTCATCTCCTTCCTTCCTTTGAAAGAAATTTCAATCCACTTTGAGCGATTTGGACTTGTACCAAAGTTTATTCACCATGTACTTTAAAAAATAGTCGGTTTTCGTAGATTATTTTTTTTTATGTTCTGATTCCCAAAAGAGGAAATCCTGTAATGTTCAGAGAACATCGTGAGAACCAAGGGAAATAAGGTAGGAATTGGTGTTATTGAATTTCTGGAGGTTATATGCCCCGGGAAACACCTCCCTTGGCAATGTGTTCCAGAGCATCGCTGTTCGTTGGATGAACGAGTCTTTGGAAAGAGATGTTCTGCAGGTCTTCAAAGTGACCACGAAGGGGTACGAAGCCTCAACTCGACGAGTCAATCTCGCGGGGACTGTCAAGGGAAGAACAATCATTGATATTTCAGTAGGGAATTGTCCATGAAAATATCTATAAAATAGAGCCAGATCGCCAACTTTTTCACGATGTCCCAGAGAAGTGAGTGAGTTTGTGAGCGAGGCATCACCCACGAGACGAATTGCTCTTTTTTGGACAGAATCCCACAGTTTCAGGGTATGTTTGGGTGCTGCACTCCAAATATGGGCACAGTATTCCAGGACAGGTCGGATCTGTGCCTTATAGATCATAAGCAGCTGACTGGAAGTGAAATATCTCCTGTCCCGAAACAGAAAACCAAGTTTTTGAGATGCACTTTTAGCAATTGATCTCACGTGATTTTCCCAGGAAAGGTTATTGCTGATAGTAATCCCAAGCATCGAAATGGATGTCTTCAAAGGTATGGTTACTCCTGACAAGCTTATGTTTGTGATTTGTTTGCATTGAAATCTACCAAGTTATTGGATCCCCATTCGAGAATTGTTGCCAAGTCCATAATCATGTTGTCAACATTTCTCTCTCGTTCGTTTCTGATTTGCCTGGCTGGAATTGGAGCCGTGGAAGAGAAGGCGGTATGGAGGGTACTAACATCCGCGAAGCTGTGTACTGGACATGAAGTTGCTTCCAATAAATCATTGATGTGGAGTAGAAATAGTGTTGGTGCTAGAATTGATCCTTGCGGAACACCAGCATTTATGATGAAAGAGTCAGATGAAACTCTGTCGACCACTACATGGAGATGAGAGAAAACTAGGTAGCAGAGAACATATAGCTGGGGAGGCGAGCCATAAGATGGAAGCTTGGCGAGGAGTTTGTGGTGCCAGACTCGATCGAATGCCTTGGAGATATCAAGTGCCATGGCTAAGGTTTCATCATATTTTTCAATAGATTGCTGCCATATATGTGATACGTGAGCGAGCAGGTCACCAGTTGATCTCTGATGACGGAAGCCATATTGCCTATCGTTGATAATACCATAATGTTCCAGGTATTTCATGAGCTCGATGTTGATAGCTTTCTCCATTATCTTAGGAATAATAGATAGCAGTGCGATCGGTCTGTAATTGCTAGGTAGGGTCTTTTAGCCCTTTTTAGGAACTGGTTGTACTCTTGCAATTTTCCAGCTGGACGGGAATATCCCCAATTTGTATAAAATTTGTTGAACAACTTGCAGAGAACAGGTGTTAGTTCGGGAGCACATTTATTAAGAACAATCGGTGGGATTCCGTCGGAGCCACAAGCTTTGTTGGTGTTGAGACCCAATAAAATCTTCCTTATAGTACGTTGGTGAAAAGTGATATCGGGCATATATAACTGTCAATTGGCATTATGTTTGGAGGTTCTTGATGAATCCAGGGTGGAATTTTCAGCAAATAAATGCGCAAAAATGTCGGCTTTCTACTGGGCAGTTGTGGCTAGTGTTCCATCTTCCTTGGTTAGAGGAGGAAACGAGCTGGAAGTGAAGTTTCTTCCTACAGCTTTGGCGAAGGACCAAAATGAACGGGATCCGTCAGGACATTCAACAAGTTTTGATCTTATATTGGCATAATGAGCATCCTTTGATGATCGAATTGTACATTGCATATGCCTTTAGCCTCGACATATTCTGCTCTAATCACAGGGCCTGGATTTTTCTGCCATCGATAGAATGTTGCCTGTTTGCTGCAGAATTGCATATAATATCCGAGATACGGACTAAAATCACAAAAAAGTGTTAACAATTCGCTGTTTTTTCGCGAATATCCCAGAAAGCTTCAATGAATTTTAATTGCGAACTTCATATTCGAATTCAGCACGCCTAAAAACACATAATGACCGCAGGAAACCCGACTGCTCGATCTTTGCCCACATGCAAATACCATTTTCATCGGCCTACCCGTATACCTTCCCACCCTCCATTGTCCGCCATGCCCGCAGGTACATCGAGATATTCCGCAGCAGCCTGTCGGAGGTGAACGGCGCGTCGGGCGGCGGCTACCAGCCGGGCGGCAGGCGGGGCGGATCGGGCGGTGGCGGCGGCTTGGGGTCGTTCGGCGGCCGCCCCGGGCCCTACGACAGAGACAATCGCTTCGGCAACGGCGGGCGGTTCGGGTCGACGAGAGGATCGAGAAGCTACAAAGGTGAGAGATTGTCTGCACCTTTTCTACACCTTTTCCAATAGTAATTCAGAAAGCGTCAAATGAAATTCAGACAATATCATTTGTAATTCAGATTAGTTAATTGAAAGTCAGAAAATATCAAATGAAATTCAGAATTGTCAATTGATATTCAGAATGCGTCATTTGTAATTCAGATTAATCAACTGAAATTCAGAAAGCGTCAGTTATAATTCAGAAAGCGTCAATTGAAATTCAGAAAGCGTCATTTATAATTCAGAATGTATCATTTGTAATTCAGAATGGGTCAATTGTAATTCAGACTATGTCATTTGTAATTCAGAATAGTTTATTGAAATTCAGAAAGCATCATTTGTAATTCAGAATAGTCAATTTAATTTTAGAAAATATCAATTGTAATTCAGATTAATCAATTGAAATTCAGAAAATATCAATTGTAATTCAGAAAACTTCATTTGTAATTCAGAGGTATGGAACAGTGTTACCTCTGCATGCATACCTACCTACAATCCATCATTATCAAAAGTACCTACTTACTGTGTATGTCCTATTCTCCTGGAAACGAATATTCTAACTTCAAATAATTATACATCATCTCATAGAATGAACTTCAAAGACAACTGTATGATTTGTCATAATCCAATGACTCGAAATGCAGTTACAAGATTGCAGCCATGTAATCATTTTGTGCATACGAGGTGTGCAGAGCAATTTCAACTGGACGTTTGGACGTTGAAAGAAATAAGTATTGATCCAGATATTTTATTGAAACGAATTATTCACAGGTTCCTTCATCAGGTATAAGAAACATAATCATCAAGATCGTGAAAGGATTGTGGAATGCGCAGAAAAGGGGGATGACTGGGTAGCAATATCAGCATCATCAGGAGTCAAATATCGCTGAATGATGGCTATTTTTATTTTTATCTGCTATGTCTCAATTCAATCCCAATATTGTTCGTTTTCATACATTACTCGCTTATAGTTATTGTATTATGAATGAGTTTAATAAAAACAAACTTGTGTTGTTGTATCCCACATAATATGATTACTGATGAGATTTCGAGGTGAACAACAAGCGCTGTCTGAATTCCAATTGACTAATCTGAATTACAATTGACGATTTCTAAATTTCTATTGATGCTTTCTGAATTTCATTTGACAAATCTGAATTACAATTGAAGTTTTCTGAATTTCACTTGACTAATCTGAATTTCAATTGACTTTTTCTGAATTTCAAGTAACTTATCTGAATTACAAATAACGTAGTCTGAATGACAATTGACGCATTCTGAATTACAAATGACGATATCTGAATTTCAATTGACGCATTCTAAATCTCAATTGAAAAATCTGAATTACAACTGATATTTTCTTAATTTCAGTTGACTAATCTGAATTACAATTGATATTTTCTGAATTTCAATTGACTATTCTGTATTACAACTGACGTTTTCTGAATTTCATTTGAGAAATCTGAATTACAATTGACGCTTTCTGAAATACATCTGGAAAAGGTGTAGTTGTATTTCGGCATTGTCGATTGTATTTAGAATAGTCGAATGAATTTCAGTAAGCGTCAATCGTATTTCAGAATAGCCGATTGAGTTTCAGAAGGCATCAGTTGTATTTTAGAAAATTAATTGGATTTCAGAAAGCATTAATAATTGCATTTCAGAATAGTCAATCGAATTTCAAAAAGCATTAATTTCATTTCGGAATAGTCACTTGAATTTCAGAAAGTATCAGTTTTACTTCAGAATAATCAATTGAATTTCAGAAAGCGTCAGTTGTATTTCAGGATGGTCAATTGAATTTCAGAAAGCATCATTTGTATTTGAGAATAGTCAATTAAATTTCAGAAAGTGTCAATTGTATTTCAGAAAGTATCATTTTAGTTTCAGAAAGTATCAATTGAATTTCAGAATGGTCACTTGTATTACAGAATGGTCACTTGTATTTCAGAATGGTCACTTGTATTTCAGAAAGCGTCAGTTGTATTTCAGAAAGCGTCAGTTGTATTTTAGGATAGTCACTTGGATTTCAGAAAGCATCAATTGTATTTCAGAATAGTCAATTGAATTTCAGAAAACATCAATTGCATTTCAGAATTGTCACTTGTATTTCAGAATTGTCGATCGAATTTCAAAAAGCATTAATTGCATTTCAGAATAGTCACTTGAATTTCAGAAAGTATCAGTTGTACTTCAGAATAGTCAATTGAATTTCAGAAAGCGTCAGTTGTATTTCAGGATGGTCAATTGAATTTCAGAAAGCATCATTTGTATTTGAGAATAGTCAATTGAATTTCAGAAAGTGTCAATTGTATTTCAGAAAGTATCATTTTAGTTTCAGAAAGTATCAATTGAATTTCAGAATGGTCACTTGTATTTCAGAATGGTCACTTGTATTTCAGAAAGCGTCAGTTGTATTTTAGGATAGTCACTTAGATTTCAGAAAGCATCAATTGTATTTCAGAATAGTCAATTGAATTTCAGAAAACATCAATTGCATTTCAGAATTGTCACTTGTATTTCAGAAAGCATTAGTTGTATTTCAGAATCGTCGATCGAATTTCAAAAAGCATTAATTGCATTTCGGAATAGTCACTTGAATTTCAGAAAGTATCAGTTGTTGTACTTCAGAATAGTCAATTGAATTTCAGAAAGTGTCAATTGTATTTCAGAAAGTATTATTTTAATTTCAGAAAGTGTCAATTGAATTTCAGAATGGTCACTTGTATTTCAGAAAGCGTCAGTTGTATTTCAGAAAGCGTCAGTTGTATTTTAGGATAGTCACTTGGATTTCAGAAAGCATTAATTGTATTTCAGAATAGTCGATTGAATTTAAGAAAACATCAATTGCATTTCAGAATTGTCACTTGTATTTCAGAAAGCATTAGTTGTATTTCAGAATAGTCGATTGAATTTCAAAAAGCATCAATTGCATTTCAGAATAGTCACTTGTATTTCAGAATGCGTCTGTTGTATAAGCATTAGTTGTATTTCAGAATAGTCACTTGTATTTAAGGAAATATCAGTTGTATTTCAGGATAGTCACTTGTATTTCAGAAAGCATCAATTGCATTTCAGAAAAGTCACTTGTATTTCAGAATAGTCATTTTTATTTCAGAACAGTCACTTGTTTTGCAGAAAGCGTCTATTGTATTTCAGAATTGTCACTTCTATTCCAGGAAGCATCAGTTGTATTTAAAAATAGTCAGTTGAATTTCAGGAAGCATCATTTGTATTTCAAAATAGTCACTTGTATTTCAGAAAGAATCAGTTGTATTTTAGAGTCAATTGAATATCAGGTACCGTCAATTGTATATCAGAAATAATCATTTGAATTTTAGGAAGCTTCCTAATGTCGAACGACCTTCTGTTTCCTAAGTGCATTCGCTCTCGTAATAATAGTTTTGGTTGAGTCACCGCGATCACTTCACTATTTCCTTTCACAAGTTATATCAAAATCAAACAAAAAAAAAATATATATCTTCGCAGATTACAACAGCCACGATCGTTCTTCGAGCTCCTGGTCGAGCAACCGCAACGGCAGCGACTCGAGGTCCTACGATTCGTGGGGCGGCGGCGGCGGCAGTAGCGATCGCGGCGGCGGCATGCACTGCGTTCACATGCGGGGGCTGCCTTTCAAGGCAACGGAGAGCGACATATCGGACGTGAGTAGATATTGTTCACGCCCAACCTCTTTAGTTTAGTCAAGTTCATTTAGTATCTATGGTTGAAATTAATTTTCTTTCCATGCAAAATCATATTACAACATTTCTTATATTGATATCTCGGCGATTGTTTATAAATAATATTAATTTCCTTGTATCTCAATTCTCGAATATTTCGCGAAATACATAGTTTCGGCAATACATAGGTCGGATCATATACCAGTATATAATACTTTGGATTGATAGCGGTATAGAATTGTCACGCAATGTTCCGCGATTTTCATGTGATAAATATCAGTAATTTCAATAACAAAAATTTCAAAAATTGTACATAGCTCTGACAAGAAAATGATTTGCGTCAGTGAATTATCGTTTGATTTAGTAATTCGACATAATGAAATATGAAATTCCACTCAAACAGACCCATTTAGATTCAGTTCTAGGGTAAAATACACTGAGGTGACAACACTGGTCCGGGTTCGTGAATTTAAATCAAATTTATGAGCAGCTTATATATTGATATCCGTTTATTCCACAATCGCCAAAAATGGAAGCATTTATTGTTGAGACATTAAATTCTGTGATTCACTCCAATTCGATTTCTATAAACTTTTTTCATGATCTCACGTCCGTGATGTGCTCGTTAGAAGCACATCCAGTACAACTATTACTAACAAATTCGAATTTACCGCCATATTAGTTAGAATCGTACTGATTGATCATGGATTCGTTACAAGCGTTCCGGATTATGGATTGTTTAATTGTTCCAAGTCGCACGCCATCTGCATTCCAATAGATTCTCTTCGTAAGTGGCGCACCTGCCCGTCAAATTACGAAGTATTGCTCCGACATCGTTCGACACTATCGCCGCCACTATGTGAGATTTCGAACTATGGTACGCCATCTAGTTGTGAGATTTTTTGGACCTCGTTTTGCCCCATAAGGTTGGGCATCTTCCCAGCGTAAGCGTAATATATCAATCAACGATAAAGTGCATAGACTACATTGCATTCAGCTTGCTGTAGCTGTAGTCAAACTTGTCAATGACATAAAGTGTTGGCACTGTTGGTAGTGATGATGGTTGAGTTAGTTAATTTGTTAACATCATTACATTTTTATTAGTTTAGTGAACAGTGAACAGGTGAAGAATTGGAAATAGTTTAAACAATTCAAACTAATTACTACAACATGTTTACAATACCCAGATTGTCCTGCTTTGCATGAACAAATACTAAATCCATTGTTCTACAGGAGTACCTCTGGACCCCAACTTCAACTTTACTTCATGTGTGGAAGATTTCATCGCCGAAGTTTGTAGACAAAGTGCAAAAATGTGCCTTCTGTTGAAGTCTTCTGCCTCACAAAAAATAACATGATTAGCACGGAGAACTGCTTCTCCGTCCACTACTGGACTCAAGAGACAAAAGAACATCTACCAACAGGCATTATTAGCGTTTTCGACCGAATATTGACAATTAATGTCAGGAAATTTAAAAACATCACTCTTATCAGTACACAGTACACAAGCTAATGACACTAAGGGGATTGAGTGAGGATTGAGTTTGTTTTTCCCCAGTTTTGACGTAGCTTTGACATGGAACGATGAAAACCGAGCGCCACCTGGTGACATTGATTCCCGCGAATAGCTAGAAGTTTTTGATCACATTGTGGCAATTCCACAGATTCGAAAATGACAGTAACGATGTGTCTGTCACTTTGATAATTACAAACTAATTTGAGGTTTGATTGGTATGACAACAATAATCGTTTGCCATCAGATCAATCCAAATCTATGGGGGGATTTTTATAATAATAAATTTTTATTTTTCAATATTTCTTTATTCTCACAATAAATAGGGCAATTTGATAGATGATTCTGAACATAAATACTTAATACTGCAACAAACAAACTCAAACTCTCATATTCCATCACCTACCACTTATATTTTGCCATATTATCATACATTTGTTTTTCCCTGCGGAAAAATGACACTTCCCAAACTAAATTGCGTGCGGGTATAGGGTGAATCACGCACGCTTGTAGAAAATAGTAGTTTACCTAACAAGTGCAGAAAGTGACACTTTTCCGCACGTGTTAGGTACACTATTTTTTCTACTAGCGTGCGGAAAAAACCCAAGTGTTAACATGAAGAAACATTTATTATTAAATACTTTTATGAAGATGAATTTCGTCAGGTGCTTCATTTATAAACTGGAATATTTCTTCTTTCAAGAAAATGTTTGCCTTTTTTGGCCTAAATCCAATGTTTTGTTTTTTATATATGCCGTGACCTTGAAAAACTTGCTCAAATCGAGTTTTTTTTTAGTTTGATTACACTTTTTAACATTGAGTACCTGGACCAAAGAGTGTTTGGCTTGCATGTTTTCCGCGAAATTAGCCAAAAAAACGTCTCCTTTGAAACTTTTGATTCCCTTATTCTGGCACCAGTTTTCAAATAAGTTATACAGTGTGTCCCACTTACCATGCTCACCATGGGTATCTTTTTAACGGTGACAGATGAGGTCGGTTAAATGACACCAAATGTAGAGTTTGTCAAGGCCAACTATAATGTGAAAAAATATTTTGAAAAAATTTATTCGTTTTTGTTTTATACGCAAAAAACAGATTTTGATGATTTCCATGTCTCCTCCCTAACTTCTTTATTTATGAGAATATTCAAATAGGAATTTCACATTCTAACGGCAGTTTTTCAAAGTGATTTTGATGAAAATATGGAATGTATACCAACTCTTCTAGAATTTGAGATATCAGCACCAACTTTAGTTTTTCAAATGTAGGTCATAGCTCACTATGATTTAGTTACAAATGACTTTTTTCTCTTTTAGAGATGATATGTCGCAGTAATAGTTTTGTGTTGAGACCAACGGAGTTATCGTCATTTATACAAAAACAAAAAATTATTTGGAAGCTGCCATCTTGAATGTATGAATTTTAACAAAAAAATCATGATCTCCGACCTCAAAAACTCGCGCTTACCAATTTTGAATGGAATCGGACCAAATCTTGTCCGCCATCTTGGAGCAGCCATTTTTTTTAATTTCAACAAAAATTCCATAAACTCCGATCAACTTGAAATTTGGCAGGTATTCATAATTTCGGTGACAATACATTATGGAATTTTTGTTGAAATTAAAAAAAATGGCTGCTCCAAGATGGCGGACAAGATTTGGTCCGATTCCATTCAAAATTGATAAGTGGTGGTTTTCGAGGTCGGAGGTCATGAATTTTTTTGTTAAAATTTATAAATTCAAGATGGCGGCTTCCAAATAATTTTTTGTTTTTGTATAAATGACGATAACTCCGTTGTTATCAACACAAAACTATAACTGCGACATATCATCTGTGAGAGAAAAAAAAGTTATTTGTAACCAAGTCATTGTGAGCTATGACCTACATTTGAAAAACTAAAGTTGGCGCTGATATCTCAAATTCTGGAAGAGTTGGTATAAATTTCATATTTTTTTCGAAATCACTTTGAAAAACTGCCATGAGAATGTCAAATTCCTATTTGGATATTTTCATAAATAAAGAAATTACGGAGGAGACATGAAAATGATCAAAATCTGTTTTTTGCGTATAAATTAAAATCGAATAATTTTATCAAAATATTTTTGCATATTATAGTTGGCCTTGTCAAACTCCACATTTGGTGTCATTTAACCGACCTCGTATCGTATCTCTCACCTTTAAAAAGATACCCATGGTGAGCATGGTAAGTGGGACACACTGTATTCCTTTTCATACCTGTGACGGGATTTTGATGGTGGTAGATCCAAGTTCGCAGTTTTAGCCGCTTCCAAAACTCAGTGCAGAAAAGTAACTCATTCAACACTGAAATGAGTGCGGAAAAGTGAACTTTTCCGCACGCTAGTAGAAAAAATATAAAACCCGGCAATATACCTACTCAAACAAATCCAAAACCCCTCTCAATGGATATTTAGTGTGTGAGATCCTCCCAGAAATACAGTCCACTTCCCAGAAATCAGGAGGAGATTGGTGGTTGCAACCCCGAATAGCTATTATTTGCTCTACCGAATCGTCACTAGCGCATCACTAATTTTTTCTGTCGTCGACAGTTCTTCAAACCGGCCTTCCCAGTAAACGTGCGCCTCCTGCAAGATTCTAGCGGCAGAGCTTCCGGCGAGGCGGACGTCGAATTCGCGTCGCACGAGGACGCCGTCCGGGCCATGAGCAAAGACAAGGGCCACATGCACCACAGGTAAGACGAGACTGGTACTTTTTTTTCTAACACGAATTGCGTTTTTAATAGTAGATTGTTTTATTAGGATCAAAAGTGACACTTTGTTTGACAACCGAATTTTGCATTTGCGAGGCGGAGCGTTTAGCGAAGCCGAGCGAAAGCAAAATTTGCGAGTCGAACAAAGACACTTTTGATCCGAATGAAACATGCTATTTTTTCTGCAACCGAAACAAAAGTCGTCCATTTTGATACCAAAATCAGCTCTTAAATTGACGTTTCTATTACTGACACAAAAATCGGTATGTTGCTAGGCAACATATTTAGTTCCTAGGAGCCAAAGTTGAATTTAGTGCCTAGGAGCTAAAGTTGAACTTTAACTCCTAGGAACTAAAAAGGATGTACTGGACGTCATCAAGAATAAACAACATTGTGAAGGTTGGTTATGTGGTTGAGACACATACCTGATTTGTTTCCGATTTCAGCAGATTTGGAATTTCATACCCATGCTGGAGATATAAATACACCTTATTATAGTTGAGTATTGGAATTATAAACATCTCAGCTAAGTATTTTTTTCTGCAACCGACACAAAAGTCGTCCGTTTTGATACCGAAATTAGCTCTTAAATTGACGTTTCTATTACTGACACAAAAATAGGTATGTTGCTAGGCAACATATTTAGTTCCTAGGAGCTAAAGTTGAATTTTAGTTCCTAGGAGCTAAAGTTGAACTTTAGCTCCTAGGAACTAAAAAGGATCTACTGAACGTCATCAAGAATAAACAACATTGTGACGGTTGAGAGGCATACCTGATTTATTCCCGATTTCAGCAGATTTATGGCATTTCATACCCATGCTGGAGATATAAATACACCTTATTATAGTTTAGCACTGGAATTATAAACATCTCAGTTAAGTATTTTTGTTTGATCAGGGAAGCCTTCAAGATTCAAATACTTGCTTGATCTGTATTTCATTCGTTATTCTCGGGATGGATAACATGTTTTTGAATGTTCACGGCAAGCAATAGTTTTTTGTCTCAAACAACGATATTGTTTAGCTTCATTTGATTATCAAGCGACAAACATAAAACATTGTATTACGGGGAGGAAAAAATAATTGCTCTTCTTATTGTTGATGTGCTCACTAACCTAACATTTTCCAAGTCTTGTTTCTATAGCTGGCACTGACGCGGTATTTGCCATTAGAGCACCTGGTCCATACACAAATATGTCACTCTGTGGTTGTATTTATATTGAAACTACAATTCGAACATCCTTGAAAATTGAATGAACCTGCTGTTGATGCACGGCATTGGTGGTAACTTTACATATTTATTTGAGTTATTTGTTTCGGTTGCAGAAAAAATAGCATGTTTCATTCGGATCAAAAGTGACTTTGTTCGACTCGCAAATTTTGCTTTCGCTCGGCTCGGCTAAAACAATATACTATTATTTAACTTACATTATATGTTTGTATGGATATGGATGTATGTATGCATGTTCGGATGGAATCTTTGAACTCAATTTTGAAGTAGAAATCTTCAACCGATTGCCCTGAAATTTGGTATACACGTTCAGTTTTGATGACAATGCACGATAAGGTGTGTCACGTTATTCTAAATCCAATATGGCGGACTATCTAAGATGGCGGAATAGCTATTTTTGATATATTTTTACAATATGGGTATCAAATGAAAAGGCTCGTTGAGAGTAACTCGAAAAATGACGTGACGTCATTCTAAATCGAATATGGCGGACCATCCAAGATGGCGGAATGGTCATTTTCAATATACTTCTACAATATGGGTATCAAATGAAACGGCTCGTTGAGAGTAACTCGAAAAATGATGTGACGTCATTCTAAATTCATTATGGCGGACCATCCAAGATGGCGGAATGGTCATTTTCAATATACTTCTACAATATGGGTATCAAATGAAAAGGATTGTTGAGAGTGAATCGAAAAATCCAGCTAGCGATAACTAAAAATTTAAAAATAAATTAAAAGTAAAAAAAAACTTTTTAATTAAAAGCTTTTATCACAACGCTCTAAAAAGAAGAAAATAGAATATTTCTGAATAATTTCAACTATCAACTTATAACCTCATTATACACGATTTATATAATCATAAAAGCTTGTCGCGATGATCAATATTTTATTGATTATTTAGCCGTGAGCTAAAATCTAATATTTTTCCCGTGTATAATACACTATTTTTTTCTGTGACAGAAGAAAGGACGAATCAATATTGAGAAGATATTACATTATTTTGAAATCTGCGTTGTAGGCATCTTTATCATTCTTTTGAAGTAATCAAATATCTGATGTCACTTCTGTCAGTCTAATTCTGTGATTTGATTTCAAAAAATTGCGAATTTAGTGGTTTAGTAATATATGTAGCCATGAACAGTGTATACAGTGTGTCCCACTTACCATGCTCACCATGGGTATCTCTTTAACGGTGAGAGATACGAGGTCGGTTGAATGACACCAAATGTGGAGTTTGTCAAGGCCAACTTTAATGTGAAAAAATATTTTGATAAAATCTATTCGTTTTTGTATTATACGCAAAAAACAGATTTTGATCATTTTCATGTTTCCTCCGTAACTTCTTTATTCATAAAAATATTCAAATAGGAATTTCACATTCTCATGGCAGTTTTTCAAAGTGATTTCGAAAAAAATATGAAATTTATACCAACTCTTCTAGAATTTGAGATATCAGCACTAACTTTAGTTTTTCTAATGTAGGTCATAGCTCACTATGACTTAAATACAAGTAACTTTTTTTCTCTTACAGATGATATGTGGCAGTAATAGTTTTGTGTTGATAACAACTGAGTTATCGACATTTATACAAAAACAAAAAAATATTTGGAAGCCGCCATCTTGAATTTATAAATTTTGACAAAGAAATCATGATCTCCGACCTCAAAAACCCCCACTTACCAATTTTGAATGGAATCGGATCAAATCTTGTCCGCCATCCTGGAGCATCCATATTTTTAAATTTCAACAAAAATTCCATAACTCCGATTAACTTGAAATTTGGCAGGTGTTCATAATTTCGGTGACAATACATTATGGAACTTCTGTTGAAATTAAAAAAAATGGCTGCTCCAAGATGGCGGACAAGATTTGGTCCGATTCCATTCAAAATTGGTAAGTGGGGGTTTTTGAGGTCGGAGATCATGATTTTTTTGTTAAAATTTATAAATTCAAGATGGCGGCTTCCAAATAATTTGTTGTTTTTGTATAACTGCCGATAACTCCGTTGTTATCATCACAAAACTATTACTGCGAGATATCATCGGTAAGAGAAAAAAAAGTTATTTGTAACTAAGTCATAGTGAGCTATGACCTACATTTGAAAAACTAAAGTTGGTGCTGATATCTCAAATTCTAGAAGAGTTTGTATAAACATTTTTTTTTCGAAATCAATTCCAAAAACTGACATGAAAATGTGAAATTCCTATTCAAATATTTTCATAAATAAAGAAGTTACGGAGGAGACATGAAAATGATCAAAATCTGTTTTTTGCGTATAAAACAAAAACGAATAGATTTTATCAAAATATTATTTCACATTATAGTTGGCCTTGAAAAACTCCTCATTTTGGTGTCATTTAACCGACCTCGTATCTCTCACCGTTAAAAAGATACCCATTGTGAGCATGGTAAAAGGGACACACTGTATATCCGGGAAAAAAGTACTCACTTTTTTTTCCCGTCACTTTTTTCCCACGGGAAAAAAGTGATTTATGAAAAGTGACATTTTATAACCTGCCAACAGAGATGAAATACCAAACTTTTTTCCCGTCACAGAAAAAAATTCTTTTTGATACATGTCAAGTTTATCTAAACAAAAAAATCTCTCGTGTAATTATAAGTGAAAAAAATTCACCAGTTATACCGTTTGTCCACAGGTACATCGAACTGTTCCTGAATTCGGCGGGAGGGTCCTCCAGTAATGGGGGGATATCTTACGGCGGTCTGGGGGGCAGACGACGGATGTAAAATTATTGGAAAGTTCGTTGGTTCGTTTCGAGTTTTTTTTTATTATTTTTGATTCTCCTAAGGGTGGGTGGTATGTGTATATTCGAGAGGGAGAAAAAAGATGCCGCAGAAATTCTGTGATTGTGGTGTTTTTCTGCTTAGCATTGTGATTTGCTAGAGAAAGAACTTTTTTGGGTACCATATCGGCAGACGTTTTTTGTTTTTGTTTGTTGATAGATTTTTTGCTGGAAGAGGCTAACTTAATAGACAAGGAGTATAATTTTCCATGTAGACTGCAGTGACGAACTCATTTTATTTCCATAGACGCTCATTTTTTTCTTTTTTTTCTTTTTTTTTCAAAGATACTGAAGCAAAGCATACAGTGTCATTCATAAAGTCGGCATCATATGGGAAAAACTTTTATTAATGACTTATTTCGAAATTCGAGTTGGACGTTAAGTTTTGCTTCGAAAAAAAAGAAAAATGGCCTACTCAATCGGGGTCACGTGAATTTCGCTACATGTCAAAAGTGACACTTTTTCAAATTAATCGCTGAAAGTAGGCTTATTTGGTCGAATATCGAAAAAGTTCACTTGAAAAAGTTGTTTCTATTTGAATTTTGCATATGTGACTCGGATTTTATCTTTCTATTACATTTTTTAGATTTCGATATTTTTTTGAAATTTTCGAAATTTCTGTAATATCAAAAGAAATGTAAATTCGATAAAACTACTTCATACCAGTAGCTTCATCATGCTACTAACTTTCAATTACTAATTATCACTAATTATCGACAAAAATATGATTTTCTTCAGAAAATGAAATAATCCCCGCTTCAAAATTCTGTTAGGTTTGAGTCAAGCATTTAGAAACGAAATTCATTCAAATTTATTTTTTCAGTACTGAAAAGATCAGTTTGAATGAATTTCGTTTCTAAATGCTTGACGATATATCAACTTTGCATCAAACATAACAGAATTTGAAAGCGGGTATTATCATTTTCTGAAGAAAATCCTATTTCTGTCCATAATCAGTAATAATAAGTAATTGAAAGTGAGTAGCATGAAAAAGCTACTGATATGAAGTAGTTTCGTGGAATTAACAATTCTTCAAATTTACAGAAATTTCGAAAAATTAAAAAAAAACAAAATCTAAAAAATGCAATAGAAAGATCAAATTCGAGAAGCATGTGTAAAATTGGAATAGAAACAACTTTTTGTAGTAAACTTTTTCGATATTCAAACAAATAAGCCTACTTTCAGCGATTAATTTGAAAAAATGTCACTTTTGACATGTAGCAAAAGTCACGTGACCCCGATTGAGTAGGCCATTTTCCATCTTTTTTCAAGCAAAACTTAACGTCCAACTCGAATTCCAAAATAAGTCATCAATAAAAGTTTTTCCCATATGATGCCGACTTTATGAATGACACTGTATACAGTATTTAGGAAACGCTGCGTTAAATAGGACACTTTTTCTCTCGAAAAAACGAAGGAATTCCACCCCCTACTTTCCGACACATGTTTGAATCACCGCCAGATACTCCAGAAGGCACTTTACTTGAGTCACCCTAAATTTATGAATGAAATGCATCTCAAAATCGCACATACTTGATTCGTTCTATTGCTGAAATATTTTGAACAAAAAAATCAGGAGATGTTATTCATTATTTGTGTTATTTGATTGAATTAGTAGATCTTATATTTTTCTATTATTTGACCACCCAACTTAATTATGAATTATTGTGAAATTATTATTGATGATGATGAATAAACATATGAATTATATTATTATTTTATTTCTACTAAGTTTCTTGATACTATTTATTTGGAACAAATGATTTAACAAAACATTGCACACAAGTGATAAATAAAAATAATAATAATAATACATGAAATCATCCTTTTTTATTGTTCTACCTAAATACATTTTACCTTTACTTGTGTAAAAAGATTGTGAGTGATTTTTATAATTCTAGATTCTTGCCGATATTATTTAGTTTCCATTCTACAGGTTGATTAGAAATTCCTGTCACATTAGCAAACCTAAAAATACAATAATTTTAGGTAAATCATCCTTTCAAATCAGACCCAAAAGATGGTATGAACATCATGTAAATTGGATAAGTGAAATTGTGTAAAAAGGTTGTAAGTGACTTATTTGACTAGCAGGACACTCACCAACATAATTAAGTCTCCATTCTATAAGTTGGTCAGAAATTCTTCAGTCAAATTAGGAAGGAACCTGAAAACACAATAATTTGAAGAAAATAATGGATTATAGGAATATTTACATTTAATTTTGTGTCATATCAGATGAGTAAATAGAGTCATCCTTTAGAATCAGACCCGAAAGATGGTACAAACATCATGTGAATTGAATAGATGAAATAGTGTGAAAAGGTCGTAAGTGACTTATTTGATTCTAGCTGGACACTCACCAACAATATTCAGTTTCCATTCCATGAGTTGATCACAAATTATTCAGTCATATTAGGAAGAAAATCTGAAAATACAATAATTTGAAGAAAATAATGGATTATAGGAATATTTACATTTCATTTTGTGTCATATCAGATGAGTAAATAGAGTCATCCTTCGAAATCAGACCCGAAAGATGGTACAAACATCATGTAAATTGAATAAGTGGAACTGTGTAAAAAGGTTGTAAGTGACTTATTTTACTCTAGCAGGACACTCACCAACATAATTCAGTTTCCATTTCATAAGTCGATCAAAACTTCTTCAGTCACATTAGGAAGGAAATCTGAAAACACAATAATTTGAGGAAAAAAAAGGATTATATGAATATTTACCTTTCATTTTTTGTCATATCAGATGAGTAAATAGAGTCATCCTTAGAAATCAGACCCGAAAGATGGTACAAACATCATGTAAATTGAATGAGTGGAATTGTGTTGAAAGGTTGTAAGTGACTTATTTGATTCTAGCTGGACACTCACCAACAAAATTCAGTTTCCATTCCATGAGTTGATCACGAATTCTTCAGTCACATTAGGAAGGAAATCTGAAAATACAATAATTTGAAGAAAATAATGGATTATGGGAATATTTACATTTCATTTTGTGTCATATCAGATGAGTAAATAGAGTCATCCTTCGAAATCAGACCCGAAAGATGGTACAAACATCATGTAAATTGATTAAGTGGAATTGTGTAAAAAGGTTGTAAGTGACTTATTTGACTCTAGCAGGACACTCACCAACATAATTCAGTTTCCATTCTATAAGTTGGTCAGAAACTCTTCAGTCACATTAGGAAGGAACCTGAAAACACAATAATTTGAAGAAAATAATGGATTATAGGAATATTTACATTTCATTTTGTGTCATATCAGATGAGTAAATAGAGTCATCCTTTGAAATCAGACCCGAAAGATGGTACAAACATCATGTAAATTGAATAAGTGGAACTGTGTAAAAAGGTTGTAAGTGACTTATTTGACTCTAGCAGGACACTCACCAACATAATTCAGTTTCCATTCTATAAGTTGGTCAGAAACTCTTCAGTTACATTAGGAAGGAACCTGAAAACACAATAATTTGAAGAAAATAATGGATTATAGGAATATTTACATTTCATTTTGTGTCATATCAGATGAGTAAATAGAGTCATCCTTTGAAATCAGACCCGAAAGATGGTACAAACATCATGTGAATTGAATAAGTGGAATTGTGTAAAAAGGTTGTAAGTGACTTATTTGACTCTAGCTGGACACTCACCAACATTATTCAGTTTCCATTCCAGGAGTTGGTTAGAAATTCTTCAGTCACATTAGGAAGGAACCTGAAAACACAATAATTTGAAGAAAATAATGGATTATAGGAATATTTACATTTCATTTTGTGTCATATCAGATGAGTAAATAGAGTCATCCTTTGAAATCAGACCCGAAAGATGGTACAAACATCATGTGAGTTGAATAAGTGGAATTGTGTAAAAAGGTTGTAAGTGACTTATTTGACTCTAGCTGGACACTCACCAACATTATTCAGTTTCCATTCCATAAGTGGGTCAGAAATTCTTCAGTCACATTAGGAAGGAACCTGAAAACACAATAATTTGAAGAAAATAATGGATTATAGGAATATTTACATTTCATTTTGTGTCATATCAGATTAGTAAATAGAGTCATCCTTTGAAATCAGACCCGAAAGATGGTACAAACATCATGTGAATTGAATAAGTGGAATTGTGTAAAAAGGTTGTAAGTGACTTATTTGACTCTAGCTGGACACTCACCAACATTATTCAGTTTCCATTCCATAAGTGGGTCAGAAATTCTTCAGTCACATTAGGAAGGAGACCTGAAAACAATAATTTGAAGAAAATAATGGATTATAGGAATATTCACATTTCATTTTGTGTCATATCAGATGAGTAAATAGAGTCATCCTTTGAAATCAGACCCGAAAGATGGTACAAACATCATGTGAATTGAATAAGTGGAATTGTGTAAAAAGGTTGTAAGTGACTTATTTGACTCTAGCTGGACACTCACCAACATTATTCAGTTTCCATTCCAGGAGTTGGTTAGAAATTCTTCAGTCACATTAGGAAGGAACCTGAAAACACAATAATTTGAAGAAAATAATGGATTATAGGAATATTTACATTTCATTTTGTGTCATATCAGATGAGTAAATAGAGTCATCCTTTGAAATCAGACCCGAAAGATGGTACAAACATCATGTGAATTGAATAAGTGGAATTGTGTAAAAAGGTTGTAAGTG